ACACAAGTCTGTTTCACAGTCTCTTGGAGAGTCAAAGTCACGAGGCGAACGATCACGTGAGCATACTGTTGGACGCGTCGGTTGATTTTTGAACGAGGCATCCGGCAAACTCCTGCATCTATACTTCATAATTGCTCGCTGCGTCGAGCTAACATCTTTCATCGCGACCCCACATAGTGACAAACATCCATTTCGTTTCTATACAGTCTGACAATCCTTGATTGACAAGTCATGGTTGCCGCTGGCTCCATCACTGTTGCGGGTAAGCTTCTTTGATAACATGCTTTTCATAATCTAATATCACCCAGTCCGTGTCAGACCTCCCACAACGTGGGAAGCTGTGCGTCTCCCAGAGCTCTCTTATGATACTACAATTCGCGGTGACGGCACCCTTGCAACACCAGGAAGACCTATAACTCAGTCAGCACCTCTTCGAGACATCGTGCAAATAGTCGATGACCGCATTCTTACATTTGACCCAGAGGAGAGAGATAAGACCCGTGCATTTGTTGAGCGCGGGTTTGTGCCCCCAGGAACAAAGAGATACAAGGACAAGAGATTCATGTTTGATCGAGTATTTGACAGTGGGGCAAGACAGGGTGACGTCTATGAAGCCACAGCGAAACCACTATTAAATGGCCTTTTGGACGGCTACAATGCTACTGTATTTGCTTATGGGGTATGTGAATTTCACTAAAGGCTGTTGCGTAGTTTTTGACGATGCTCCCCCATAGGCAACAGGGTGCGGTAAAACACATACCATCAGCGGGACTGAAGGAGACCCTGGTATTATCTACCTCACAATGGCGGACCTCTTCCAACGCATCGAGGATCGAAAAGATGACTGGAACATAGAAGTCGTTGCTACTTTTCTCGAAATCTACAATGAAGAGATTCGAGATCTACTCTCCGAGCCTGGCATGCCCACACCGCGTGGCGGTCTGCAAATTCGCGAAGACAAATCTGTCAAGGTCGTGGGCCTCGTCGAGCTCCATCCCACGAGCGCGGAGGAAGTCAAACAGATTGTTCTACAGGGCAACTCGCGGAGGACACAATCCCCAACCCATGCGAACGAGACATCGTCCCGATCGCACGCCGTCCTCCAAGTGCATGTCACCCAAGCTCCTCGTACGGCTTCTCTGACTGAGCAGCGCACCATGGCGACGCTCTCTATTATTGACCTTGCCGGTAGTGAGCGTGCTGCAGCAACAAGCAATATGGGACAGCGCATGGTTGAAGGTGCTAACATCAACAAGTCACTTCTCGCGCTCGGCAACTGCATTAACGCGCTCTGTGAGAGCGGCGGCGCCATCCGCCATGTGCCCTATCGCAACAGCAAACTTACTCGATTGCTGAAATTCTCACTGGGTGGGAACTGTAAGACCGTCATGGTCGTCTGTGTTGCTCCTACGTCGCAGCACTTCGATGATACGCACAACACCCTCCTTTATGCAGAACGTGCTACGAAAATCAAGACAAAGGTTGTCACCCGTAATGTCGTCAACGTTGACAGACACGTAGGCCAATACGTGGAGGCTATCAATAGACTCAACCTCGAAGTTGCCGAGCTTAAAGCCAAGCTTTCTGGCAAGCTCGGCACTGAGAGTGACATTCTCAAGCGCAAGAGAGCAGAGGCTGCTGCTGAAGTTGACCGCTCTAAACGAGATATGCAAGATAAGATGGAACAGACTCAGGCGAGCATAGTTGAGGGCGCGTCGTGTGCTGGAAAGATATCGGTAGCAGAGATGAAACTTTCCATCATCCGCTCTCGGCTTGCGCAGATTGATACACTGGCCTCATCATCTCCCCCGCTTTCTTCAGACCTCGAAGCGGAGCGTGCCCTCCTCAAGTCTCTGGCTCGCCTTGAGGAATCCATAATAACTCCTGATTCCCCCCTCGTAACTCGTCTTACACGTTCTCAAAACTCCCGTAACATGTTTGAGGCAACCTTGCGAGCAGTCTCCGAGCGACGGTCCGATAAAATAGAGGAGTTGCATGTCGACTGCATCAAGACAGATGCACGCTGCCGCAAGGCAGAGATCGAGCGCGTACGAGCCGAAAGAGAACGTGATGCAGTCCGGGACTCGGTGCGCACCCAATCAGAAATGATGATCAGTCTCCTGGGTATGATCGGCCGGTGCACGGTTGTGCTAGGAGAGACGGCTCGTTCTCTAGAAGTACAACATGGCTTCGAAGGAATGGCATCTGTACTTCGCGGTGTGGTGCAGAAAAATGACGACGCATTTGCAGCACTGGTAGGACAAACTACGGCGGCATATGTGGCTCATGGGACGGGCACTCTTGATACATTCCGCGTACCATCAGGTTCGGCACTGCCGCAGGCTGTCAAAGCTTCCAGAAAGTCCATGTCTTACAATGCTATCGCTTCACCTCCACGACGGGCGTACAAGTCACCGCGACGCTCCCTGCGTTCCAGTATCGGTCAACCCTACCGTCGCGTCTCTGACAAGGAGAAGGAGAAGAAGGTTGTTCAATGGAAAGATGAAGCCGGACAAGGTGCACTAGATGATAGGGGAAGCGCCCCATCCCCCCCAGTTATTCTCGTTACGTCCAGCGATAGCAGCGAAAGTGTTAATGGACGCTGTCATTCTGTTGCTGGGTCCGAGAGCGAATGGGAAGACGAGCGGACGGAAGACAGTCTCAATCTGAGCAACGTCATGCTTCCCGCATCATCTTCATCACTCAATTCCATGACCCTTCACTCGAGCACAAGCAAGCGCCCACGAGCAAGCCGTCTGGACCCGAGCTTTCTCAAAGTGAAAGGCGCATCTTCCCTTGGCTGTCTTCAGGAGGCGGACGAAGACTCACCAATGCGGCGTGCACTGCCACTCTCAAACCGCACTATGAATAGCCAAGATATAGAATCTCTACACATTCCGAAATACAAGGACCGTGATGCTAGCCCAACGCGACGCCTTCCCACATCAACTTCCCGTACAACAACGCAGTCCAAAAGCTCCCGACGGCGTTCGAACATTGGACCTATGCGCAGCGAGAAGGCAAGGAGACGATCTAGTATGATCCTCCAGCCATCTGAAGATGCTCCGTTGCATGAGTCCACGAGTGGACCCAGACGCGTAGAAACGATCGGGCGTTCACCTGCGAAGAGGCCAAAGAGACTTTCACTTCTTGCCAATGCATCAAGGTCCTTGCGGGTGAAGGGACTCAATGTGATGGCAACCCTCCCGGTACCCACCAGCGATACGAGTGCTAACATCAGCGCGGACCTGAGTATTCTACCTGACTCGAGCATGAGAGCATCTTCAAAGCCTACATGGAGATGAGTAACCTGCATTTTTTCTGTTCATTAGATGGAGAGGCGACGCCTCCCCTGTACTTCTATATGTGCATTACACAGTATCACTCCTTATGCTATCATGACGAATATGATCAATCACCAATTCCTACTGTACTCGCTATACCCCGTGTTGTCTCATTCCTCGTATTTTGTCAGAGGGTCTAAATCGCACTTGCACATATCCTCCCTGCATGCTACCAGCCATTATATTACTTTACATTGATTTATGTATACCTGCTATTCTGTTGTTTGTATAATCGAAGTTGTCCTGTCAGGCAAGTCATCGAGATATTTTTGAGTACTTGAGAAATGTGTGCGATGACAGATTACGAGCATGACAATGGGTCAGCCATGCCATTATTTTGTTAGGCGCCCATTATATGTTCTGCAACCATAGGAAGCGTGTTGGAAAACATCCATATCACTGGAAGCTTGTATCTTTCTGACAACTACGAAGACCACTGGGCACTGAAAAGCTAGGGATGTACCATCCTTCATTTGGAGCATGAGTGTTATGATTGTGAGACACATCCTGAGGTGGTAGAAGCGAGCGTATGATATTTCCCCAGTCCATGCACTATATAACGCGCTTTACCTTCAAAGAAGCTCTATAGCCATAATTCAGTTTACAGAAGCCCACAAACGAGGGGGTTACAACAAACCTTAAGGTAATACACCTGCCACGCGACTACCGCGACCAATACAAGTGCTTGGAGTACAGACCACCACTTTACACGGTCGCAGGTGCTTTCTGCTGTGTCCCGATGTCTACGCTCGCGAACAACGATATATTCTTGTTCGTCCTTGACAGATGTGAGACCTATGGCGAGCGAGCGGATCTCGCGCTCAACGGGAGCGGTAACATCTGCTGCGAGAGAAAGAAGAAGAAAAGTCAGTGATCTGACAACGATTGAAGGTAGGCGCATTCACCTTCTTCTGACACATATATGATACCATGAACGTTGAAGCTAAGCACACCCCATGAGGATGGATACCAGGAAGTTACGGGGATAGAAAGGCGTACCTAACCATCTTGTCTGCCACCGTGCTCATTTGGTTAGAGAAACAGTACTCGTATCGGCCATCCTTTTCAGCTGTTATGGACGTCGTGCCGGTGCTTTCACGGATGTGCTTAGTGAGAACGATGTTTTCTGGGTCCGTTAGCTACATGCAGGGAGTCAGAAAGGTTGCTCTCGAGAATAACCAACATTGATATGACAGGCGTACCCAGAAGTCAATGTCGAGGTGTCCACCCTCTCCAACCTGGTATGTGACTGTCATTTGGTCATGTTCGTGTAGGTCCTCAAAAAAGCACTCTTTTCTGGAAGCTGTAACTTCAATCATGTGGGCAGAAGCAAAGGAGACTAGAGACAGTATCGAGAGGACCAGCCATGGCGTATGTCGCCACGACAGAAGCACTGTCATTTTGAAAGTTGTGCAGCTGCTAGCGAGTAGTTGGGTGACGGAAGGGTGCTTGTCGAGAAAGCTCTGTCCAAATTGGGAAACTAACAAGACCCTGGGGACCTGCTGATCATGGGAGTGCTCGAGGTCCCGATAAGAAATCGAATCAGTCTTTGCAAAGTTGAGTGTCTTTGTGATCTTGCTCGTAATCGTAATCTCAGTCTCAGTCATTTTGTCTTCTCCACACCAGATTCCCTAGAAGCACTACGAATTAATCACAATGGCAGATACTTCTGATGCACTCGCACCAAAGGTGAGTCTCTGGCACGAGACTGGTCCAGCATAATTAACTGACGAGCTGCGGTATTGTGGCGCGATGTAATCAGCCAGAGGGCGAGGAGATTGATCCTCATTTTGAGCCTGTTATCAAGCTCACGGAACAAGTGGAGGTAAAGACCTACGAGGAAGACGAGGATGTGCTCTTCAAGATGTGCGTTCTTGCACCTCTTGACCCAATGACTACCATCATTTAACGCTATTGTAGGCGAGCAAAGCTCTTCCGATTCGATAATATCTTAAACGAGTGGAAAGAACGTGGGACCGGCGATGTGAAACTTCTTCAGCACAAGGAGACGAAGAAGGTCCGTCTTGTAATGAGACGCGACAAAACCCTCAAAGTTTGCGCCAACCACCACAGTTAGTTGATTTTCTGGCCTCTCTTGGTTCTGCTTATATCGAGAGAAATACAGTCTCCTCAGAAATGCGCCTTCAGCCTAATATTGGCTCTGACAGGAGCTGGGTTTGGAAGGTTGCTGCTGACTATACCGAAGAACCACCAACCGCCGAAACTCTAGCCATCCGCTTCGCAAACTCTGATAATGCAAATGAATTCAAGCGTCAATTTGAGTTGACACAGAAGATAAACAGTAGCGCCTCTCCCGACGAGCAGTCTGCGCCCGAAGCAAAGGAACAAGAGGAAGAAGAGGAGGAGGAAGAGGAAGAGGAGAAAAAAGAGGAATCGGCAGAAGAGAAGAAGGAATAATTATGTACTGGACGAAGCGATCTCTTTGTTTCTCCTTAATGCCTCTTTCCTGTTGTGACGTCTATCCGTCAATTTGCTTTCATGAGTGCCCCCGTGACACCACCGCTCGCTGCCATTTCATTTGACCAAGTAATGTAAATCACTTACCTACCCAATTCATCCGACATGTACTCGTCGTGACATCATGACAGGAGACAGTTCCCCACCTTCATCTCAGTGGGAATGAACTTCATCTTCACTGGTCGCGTTCACGTGGTCTCGTGACCGTATCTGCGTTCATCGAAATTGAGATCTATGAGAAAGACGAAGGCTTTGAAGAGTCCCAGATGAATCCTGTGTCCCACGATACATACACGACAATACATTCCAAGAGGGACGTGCCTCTCACAACATCAACTGAGCAAGCAGATTTTCAAATCTCCTGCGCCAAATATACGCACCTACACCTAATGCCTTTCTGCTCGCTGCTCTTCATCCGCCCAGGCCGCCCAAAATGCGGGACCATCCCCACGCATCCAATAAAGAGCTGGAGACTTGCCCAGCACCGTGTCTCCCGTTATCAGGACATAACGGACATTCTTAGACATCATTAGTGTGAGTAGTAGTCGGGAGAAAAAATATCACACCGATCCACTGGTAAAACGCCAGAAAACAATTAACAAATATACAACAGTAGGAAGATTGAGAACTTACGGGACTTCGTACATCGCATCTAACAGCAATGATTCCTACAGTATGTAATGAGCATACTGATGAATTTTCCGGGTAAATAAAAACTACCATGATTCCCCTCAGCCCTCTCGCCCCTCCCCCGCGTTCGATAGCTCGTAAACAGATTTGATCAATAGATCCTGTTGTAAAGCGAATCTCCACGCCCGAGTGACCAAAGAGCGCAGTGTACTGGCTGATAAGTGACCCACGGACGTCGGTCAGAATGCGTCGTAAATCCTGGGTGCTTAGCGGGGATAATGTCGTTAAGGTTGGAAGGCGGGAGATAAATTCAGGAATAAAGCTATGCAAGCAAAATGAATTTGAAATTTTGACATAGCATGCGACTAGTTACCCGTATTTCACCAGATCTAGATGCATTTTTAGGGTTGCGGGAGTGGTATTTCAATAAAACATAACTGACCAGCAGGTTCAACCATCTCTAGTAAGTTTTCTGGTGATCTGCGGTTCGATGTAAAGAATGGCATAAAACCCTTGCTGTCTGAATCTTCCTCCTTGGGTGCGAGGTTTGCAGTAAAACCAATGGACTGAATTTATAGAAATGGTGATCAATAAGAGCTGAAGAACATATAAGATAGAGAATGAAAAACATACACCCTTGCTCACCCGCCGCTTCACGACGGTATCAAGCCCCACGAACGCACCGCTGAGGATAAAGAGCACATTGGAAGTATCAATATGGAAGGTATCAGGTCTCTCTGGCTGACATATTAGTGCTCCTCGCGCAGACCGTACGTTTCGATGAGACTTACGCTGTGCAGCAGCTGGTGAGCTCCGCCCTCGTGCCGTGGGTGCCGGGGGCTCCAGTGACGATGGCTTTCCTTGCACAGTAACAACGGAACCTTCCATCATTCGTAGGAGAGCTTGCTGCACTCCCTCACCACCGACATCTCGTGAACTCTCAGTCGTAGATGAGGATTTACGTGCAATCTTATCGACTTCGTCAATGTAGACGATACCTGTGCTGTAAGCAATATAAGAAAATAGAATAAACAACGATGAGAAGAGCTAAAACTAGCAATAAGGGTAGAGGGTGAGGGTGAGAATTACCTGGCACGATACGAGTCCCAATTGGCTGCTTGCAGCTAGGTAGTACAGAATGAGACTGTCCACACGCCTTCAGCTTATATGGGCGTACCAATCGTTGTATGCACATATCAACATCCTCTCCGACGTCTGAGGAGGCATCAGCTGATCTTCAAGCGAGGCAATCAGTTGGACTCACAGCCAGCCTGGTTCGACATAGTAAGGAGTGAAAGGCTTGTAATAGTAGTGGGAGTCATCGCACCTGTGTGAAAGATGTCGCATCACTGACAGAAAATGGAACGTCAAGGACGCGTGCAAGGGTACGCGCGAGCAAAGTCTTCCCTGATCCTGTTGGTCCTCTGGAGTAAACGATATTTCTGAGCAGGGCATACTTCCATATAAAGGTTTCCGGCTTACATTACCAGCACATTGCTCTTCTCAAATGACGAGACTGGTTGTCGAGGTTGGAGTGATAACTGCGGGAGGGCACGCTGGGGGTGAGGATGTAAGTGTGCAGACGACACGCCAGAGTGTGCTGAGTTCATTAGCATCCTCTCCGGATGATGAAAATATAAACGGAACACACCATCACCGGCATTTACTTCGGACCATGAGTCCGGACCACTCTCATCTTCAAAGGCGGCAAGATTTGCGCGAACACGGGTATAGTGGTTGAATACACTTCCTGACTGCCTCAGTTACACATACTACAGAGCAATACATATGCATGCTCACGCGACGGAAAGGACCTTCTTCGCAGTCTCCTGGCCAATTACATATTCATCGAGGTATCGTACAAGCTGTCAGTGACAAACCGTTAGTCTTTCTTTTGGTCGAAACGCGGGAATGGTTATTACCTGTCGTGGCGTCGCAAGTCCAGATCGTGGCAGAAACGAACTATCATCCTGTTCATCGTGCGAGGGAGACTCGTATCGTGCCTGCGTCTGGAGATTGCGAAAGAGGACCCGCAAGGGGTGTACTCGGCAGGTGTACGAGAGCCTCGATAGCATGGCTCCTTGTTATTAGCAGAATCAGGCTGAGCACCTGCTACTATGCAATTTACAACCCAGGGAACTAAGAGTCTACAGAGGAATTGAAAGAATAAACGTGATGGACATAAATCTCACAAGATGTCATCACACAAGAGCAGGTCCGTGTAAACAACGTCAAACACTGTTGTTCCAAGCCTTTGGAGCAACTTTCTTGAAGGAGACAGGAAGTTGGCTCGAGTTATCGTCGAACTTGCAAGCATGGTTCATCACCGCTCTCGCTCACATGGTCGTGAAAGAGACAGAGACCGCGTCAAAGACGACAAGCGCTCTTCTAAACAGGACCCACCAGACGAATACAGGAAGCGGCGGCGTAGTCGAAGTAGGGATCACGACGAGGAACACCCACGCCGACAGAGAGAGCGAAGTAACAGTAGAGCCAAAGATGAAGAGCGCAAGGACAAGAAGTGTGTACTTATTTTCCATTCACGTCGATGCCCCACTTACCTGAAGCAGACGCAAACGCGACAAGTCCGAGGAGCGCAGAGCCCGCAAAGCAGAGAAACTGCGCATAAGGGAAGAAGAAGAAGCTCGTCAGGTTGCTGAACTTAGTGTATACAGCGCAACCGATAATCCCTTCCACGACGTAAACCTCGGGCAGCAGTTCCGCTGGCATAAGAAAAATGAGAAAGACCGTAAACAAGGACTGTCCCTCGCGGAGGCACAGCATAAGGATGCGATTAGGAGGCAAGATGCTAAGGAGGAGCTTGAGAGGTTAAACAGGCGGAGAGCGGAACGGGAAGCAGAGCAACGCTTGCGGGAAGAGGAAGAGTCGCGCATGGCAAGAATGGCAGAGTCTGCTCAGATGTCGGACTGGATAGCGAAGGATGGGGAGTTCCAACTGGAGCAGGAACGAAGCCGGGCTGCCATTCGCATAAGGGAAAAGAGGGCAAAAGCTATTGACTTCTTGGCCTTGAACTTGAAGTATGCACATCCGCTGGACGAAGATCATAACGAGGACGATGCCGGGCTCGAAATTGACCTTGACGAGCCGTATAACATTTTCGACGTACGTATGTTAGACCTCGAACGTCGTGTCATGCAACTAACTGGTCCCACAGAATCTTTCGCCTGATCAAATTGACGAACTTCATGATGATATTGAGCGTTACCTCTCACTTGAGACCTCTGAGGTGGACATCGACTTTTGGACGGTATGTTAGTTGCATCCGTTATTTTTCCTTAGCTGATGATGTCCCTCAGAATATGATGGTGGTCTGCAAAGACCGTATCGACAGAATTAAAGCCAGTGAACACATGGGGGTAGAAGCATCAGTCGCTGTGGAATCAGAAATCACTGCACTTTTATCTGGTAAAAGCTACGACCATCTTGCAACGCTTCAAAAGCAAATCCAGGCAAAGCTCGCAAGCGGTGAACCTATTGATACGGACTACTGGGAAGGGCTCCTGAAGAGACTACTGGTTTGGAAGGCAAAGGTATGCTTCTTCTTTACAGAATTATGATACTGTAACTCACCCTCACATGATAGGCAAAGTTGAAGAGCCTGCATGAAGTCGTTGTTCGCAATCGACTTGAGCAGTTACGCAAGCGCCAGCGTGACGAGGCTCTACACGCACAGGAGGAGCTTCTTGCTGGTGTTGCTCGATCAGCAGCTCAAGGGCTGAAAGACGCAAATTATGTTGTACCTGTGACTACAGCAGAAGCAGACACGCAGGAGGACATGGAACCTTATGATAGGTCTATGAGTCCGCCACTGATAGACATCACAAAGTTAACGGAAGATGAACGCCAAATCGACATAGTGACAGAGCTTGACGACCTTCGTGCTTTGGTAGGCATCGCTTTTGCTGTTGGTTGAAATCCCGCTTATCGTTGGACAGCTGAAACAACGCCGTACGGTCGCTGCCTCGCGCTTCGTGCCCAAGGCTGCTCAACCTATGGTTGAGGTCGAAGTTCCAGAGATTGCAAGCGGTGCTGACCTCGCTTCCGAAGCTTTGTACAGGGCCGAGGCAGAGAGAGAACTCGACGAAGAGGAGGAACTCTTCAACCTCGAGGAGAACATTGCAAATCCTACGTCATACAACTGGGAGGACAAATACCGACCTCGGAAACCTAGATACTTCAACCGCGTGCATACTGGCTACGAATGGAATAAGTATAATCAGACTCACTACGAGTGCGTGCTCTATCTCCTGTTCCTAATCTTCTCTTGACGCCATTAATTAGCGTGGACA